CAGGGCAGGGCAGGGCAGGGCAGGGCAGGGCCCGGCCCGCCGCCTGGTAGCGGGTCGGTAGCTGCTCAACGCACCCTTCTCCCTCAAAAGAGGAGGGGAGAGCAGGACGCGGCGTTTATAAATTTAACGTGCCCTAAAAACGCGCCAGCTAAGGAGGAGTGGGAAAACGCGGAGGCCCGTTCCTTCGCGTTTTGTTTCACGCTAATCCATTATGTAAATACATAAATCCTGGCAACAAAGCCCACAAAAGAGCAGCTCTGTCAGGTCAACAAAGCCTCCCCGTCCGAGGCCAGTAAGTTCCAGTAGCCGAGCAAATTCCCGCCCCCCGGGGCTGCGGGATGATGGATGGGGCAGACATTCATCTTACCTGGAAGAGGAGGGGCTGGGAGAGCAGTGGAGCAGGGGGCCGCTCTCTCCTTTCTCCACCGCCCCAGGGCTGTGGCCTGCCACTGAGGCCCCGCCGCTATCCCCCAACACGTCGCCATCCGCTTTTGTTCATGCCACAGACGCTCCTGCTTCAGTGTTTTCACTCTGGCTGAAGTGGGAAACTTTCGCCTCCAGCTGAAACTCAGAGCGGCTTGGGGAGAGAGGAGGAATAGTTTTTTTGGAGCATCTTCCTCCAACCGCAGACTCATTCTAAAGTTGCCAGCTCCGATGATCTAACTTCCTGCAGGTTGTGGACGTTCAGGCAAACACAAGAATACACACACAGTCAAGTACGGGGGGGGAAAAAAAAAGAAGCAAGAAGAGGAGTAGTACTGTGTAACAGCTTGGCACCTCTCCACAGGCAAACCATGCTGAAACAGCAAGTTAGTTTTCCCTCCTCAGTTGCTTTAAAGCTGAGAGCCAGTGTTAAGACTAAGGACAAGATCCCTAGAACAGCCATGGGCTGCCAGAGCCCTTGGCTCACTCCCATACACCAGAGAAACAGTTCAACATCCCTTCCTTCCCACTGGGAAACAGCTCTGGTACGAATGGAAAAGCAAAGGAGATGCGGACTGAGCAGGCTAGAGCCTCCTGCCACCTTGGATACTGAACAGGTTTGGTAAATAGCATCTGAACACCTAATACCTCTTGCATACCAGAAATAAGAGGCCTATCAATGACCCAGAGCAATTTTTCCACTTCTCAATGAAGAAAAGATATCAGAGGAGTGCATTCTTTCACTGCTCCCTAACTGGAAATGAAAACTAGTGTTGCCTTCTTATTTCCTCCTGCTCAGGGCGGAAAGAGCAACTTTCTGGGGAAGTGAAAATTTTCAGAGAAACAAGTCTCACCTTGCTTAATTTGCAAAGGAATAGAGAGGCTCACAGTAACCTCTTGTTTGGTCACTGATTACAGGCAAGACCCTCAGCACTTCTCACCAGTGATCAGGCATTTGGGATTTTCTGTGGAGAGCATCAGCCAAATTTTTATGTAACAGAGGCTTAGCCGTCTCAAGCCCCCTACTTCAAAATCATGTCACTTATAAAAGAGAAAATACCTTTTGTGGTGCTGGCAGGACTGCTGTGGACTAGCCACCAGCCACATCATTAAAATAGCGTCTTTTCAAGTGCCAGATGCTTAAATTTAAACACCTTTGGAAAGTTTGAAACTTTTACTTATGCTTAGTAAACACTAACACGGGGAGGGGAGGCTTTTTTATTGTCATCAGTGCATTTTTAAGGGACTGAGAAAGGAGAAAAAGAAGAGATTAAAAAACCTGACCACTATAAAGGGTCACAGCCATTTGGTGATGGTCACAGTGGCCGGCCCAGAGCTGCAGCACTGTGCCACACACAGCCACAAAATTCAGACTCCACAAAAGGCTCTGGGCACAACCTCAGTCCTGGCACAGAAAGGTTTCTCTCTCCCTTCTGTGACCACAAGCACTGGTCCTGCCCTGTGCTGCTATCTCAAAAACCTCCCTCTCTCCCCTTTTCCAAAGCTGCCACGTGTGGATAGTCTTTGTTGAAAGAGGTAAGCATTAGATACCTTCTGAACTGTAGATGAAGACTAAGGGATTCTGCTGAGCTCCCTGACAGAAACAGACATTTCCAAATTGGACCTTCTCCTTGGAGGCATCCTGTGTTTGCTTTCTTAATGCCAGTTAACTTTAATCCCCAGATCACCAGGGTCCATTACAAGTAAATCCGGAAAGGAAACCTGGGATGAAACCAAAGAAAAGTGCAATCCCAGAGAGGAGGAGGAGGAGGAGGAGGGGGCTCAGAGTCTTACTGAATGGGAGGGTTTCAAATAAAGTGACAGGTGTGACATTTCTGCAGTGGAAACTTCCTCCTACACATCAGGGTAACACCTGAAGCACTAATGAGCCTTGTTTCTCTCTCCCCCCCAACTGTTCAATTACTTTGAGGTCCGGATACCTGATGGAACAAGCAAGAAAGGCATTAGGCGACAAACAGAGAAGCTGTGAAACAGCTTCACTCCTCCAGCTAAAAACCGTATCCCATTGCAGCACGTGAAATTCAGCCAGTTAATGCTTCACTACCTTAAAACTATTGTGGAGCATTAAGAGAGCAACATCCAAAGCGCTTGACAGAACAACAAACTAATTTCTGAATGAAACCATTCAGATTCTTGAAAGGCAATCTGCAATTGTTAAAGTAGATTAACTGCTTTCAAGCTCCAAGGGCTGCACTCCTATTACTTTCAAACTGCCATGATGCAAACCGAATTTAAGCGGTATACTTAAAATTATCTTTCCCTCTGCTCAGAAGGAAATAAAACACATGTTTTAATGGAAAAATGTTTTCACTGGAGATGGCTAAACTGAAAGGGTACTTTGTACCTCAGCCTAAAACTCTAGCACATTCCTTCTCTCCTTCTTGTGTCATTTTTGTAAAATATCCTTTAGACCTTTAATACACAGATTAAACTGCACCACTGCTAAACTTCATCACAACTAAATCACTTCAAAATACTAAATATGACACACCAAATGCTGCTGAAGTATTTGTTTGGACTGTTAGCTGCTATAGAATAAATTCATGATAGGACCTATGATTTGAGAGTTAGGAAAGATGCAGTAAGAAAATTTAGAGAAGAATTTACAGCCTTCATTCTGCAATGGAGATGAGCCACAGCAAGAAAAATTCGCAGGTAAGAGGTGTAAGTCAGTTTCCATTATACTGACTCTCTAGTATATTAGATGGATCATTATCTATGAACTAGTCATTATTATTTCCATCCTGCTCTCCCAGCAAACACAAAAGGCAAAAAAGCAGAAAAGGAAGGCAATTGGAAGGGTAAGTTCTTGCCTACATGAGCAACAGCCCTGGTTTAACAAACAAGCAAAATGCCTCTGTTAACTGATTGAAGTTAAGCCAATGGTAAGTACTTGCTATATACAATGCTATGTACTTGCTCACCTGCAAGTACAATTTATGTTTTACCAAACTTTTTAATTACTCAATCTCTACTGCAGATTAATAAATAAATGCAGCTTTAACAAGCTTTCAGGTCAACTGGGATTGCTGGAACAAGTACAGGTTCATGAATTTCAAATACGTTAAGGAGCTCAAGCAGGATAAAATTCTTTGGATAGGGATTTTTAGAGGATACATTTTGCAAGAAAAGTATCTGAAAAGCAATGCTATTTGGTGCAAGAAAAAAGAAAGGATAGAAGATGTGTTTGTGAAGGACAGTTTCATAGCACCCAAAAAGGCAATTCCAGAAATAAAAGTAGCCTCCCATATCCAATCCATTTAAACACTGTACAGCTTTTTAAAGCAAATTATGCTTCCACTGTGGAGTTATAAATGACTCTCTAGAAAACAGTATTAGTAAACTCTCTCAGTTTTTGCATTTAACAAAGTCTCAAGGGAAAAGGGAACCAAACAAGACAATACAGAAAATTCCAGACAAGTGAAACAACCCCAAAACACAGTATGAATAAGTTTTAAACTAAGTATCACTTTCTTCTAGTAGAAGAAACAACTTAAATGACTAAACCAAATCTGTACTTGATCAAAGTTTACTTTAATTCCAAAACAGTTGCATATGCATTTACAGAGTCACTTAAACAGCATATTGAGTAAACCGCATATATTTAGTGTAGCCTTTTTTTAATCCTTGTAGGCTTGTTACCGAGATCTATCACTATTTTTTTTAATTTCCTCCCAATGGCTTTTATTTGTTTGCTAAACAAATAAGCTTTCAAATTATTAACAGCAGTTTTCTAATAAACAATGAATGTAAACATGATAGCAATAGCATGCCACTTCCCCTTTAAAATTATAAAGTTGTTATTTTTATGGGATGAAGTCATAACTTTACTTTTTTTGTGACAACCAGACTGAATTGTGTTGTATAGCCAGTCATCAGCACTGTCTGTGTAAGAGAATAACATGTTTACATCGCAAATGAAGACGTGTGGTTAAATCATAGTTCCATTGAATTCAATGGAAGATTATTGCCAACTTGCATAGAGATTTCACTTATGATACCTTCAAGTCAAGTAAAAAAAAAAAAAAAGAAAAAAAAGATGAGATGGGAACAATTCAGTGTATAGTCCTCGTTAATAAGAGGCTAGGAAATTAATAGTCATCGTAGCACAGATCAAGACTTAGGAATACTGACAGGGAAGTTTAGTGAAGTTTACAAGATACTTGCTTTCATCACTTCATCCAATATTAGCAATGCTTCATTCTGTCAGCATTGAACAATTAATACAACCTCCCCAAAATAAAGGAAAAGATATATTTCTGAATGTCTGTATGTCTGTACAGTCAGAGTAATATTTATATGCCTTACTGCAGAGGAAATACAGACAGTTAGTGGGCCAGAATTTCCACCATCTCAGTACTATTCCAGGAACTATGATATGGGTCTCTGAGTCTCTGCTTAGTCAGATGCAGATGTTTGCTTAGGAGTATCCTAATTTATATGTGGTGGTAATGCTTCCCAGAAAGGGGGAAGGATGGATGGAGAAAGGGAACAAGGAAGATGATAACCAGGAGTCAGAACCGAGACATAATGCACTGCATTCAACATGGTCTCCCTTCATGGCAGGGAGCAGACCTTCCTGTGAAAGGTTTGTGGACCTTTCTGTGCGAAGGACAACACAAGTAACAGTTAAAATTAGCTTAATCCAGGTGCAACTGTGATTCAAAATGAAGATGTAACAGTGGTGAAACAAAAGGCGGCACCCCTCCGCCACCCTGGCCTCTTTCTCCTTGCTAGGACTGCATCATCACAAGAGAGGCAGCAGTCAGTCTTGCTCACAGCATTCTCCCATCCTTATTTTGAAATTTATTCCAGTGCCAAGAACTCCAATTAATTATCATTTAGTGCTTTTCAACTGATGGATTAATTAGTAAGAGATGTTGAAAACAGTAAAAATAAAAAGATTTTCAGTAATTAGACAAAGTGCTGGAAGTTTAGTGCATTACCAAATGTCAGTATTTACTATCAGTCACTATATGGCAATAACAATTACTACATTTTTATGGTCCTATTGGGAAAAACTGCTCTTCAGTACTAGACAGTGCTGACTTCACAGTGATACATAGCAGGTGATCCAGCTTCATTCTAGGCACAGGGCAAATACAGTTGACACAAACTCAACTATAGTGGTCCATTTAATTTTCAAATAAAGATTTAAAGAAGGAAAAGAAAGGTGACTGAACAGGATATAACTTTCGTCATGGAACACTGGGTTATCTTCTTGTCTTATAATTGTTATGTTGCAATTTAATTGATTTTATTTTACAGGAAATAAATTAATTCTTCATCCAATGTATTATCTAGACAGGAGATGTTATCAGTCACAGACAAAGATATTAGTCTGGTATAACTCAAAACATTTGCTAATCTGTGCCATATAGCTAAGCCTCTGAGAGATAACTGTTGCTAGTTTCCCCTCTGTAGCTTTTTAATATCTATCTCAATAAGCCAGTTTTTGTTTATAACATGTTTTTATACTACTCAAAGTGTTAAAAGTGTATGTATCAAACACCTGTTATTCTATTAGTGATTTTAAATCAGGAACATTCTTTATCTGGAAATCCAACAACATCTGTCCAAGTGCTTTGCCCTGTAAGAAAAAACAAACACACACACACACACAATCTAAATACACCCTCTTTTTCAATTCAGTTTTTTAAAACTGTTAAATAGGATTTTTTTTTCCATAATCAGAACATGCGTTCATTATGCTTCACAATTTTTTTTTGTGTGTTTATATATACATACATATAAATTTTGGGTGAGTTTTTGCAAGCCTTGGATTGCATATTCACACAAGTTATATTCACCTTTTCCATTAATTTGGCTTTCTCACTGGTAAATCAAAATACTTAAGTAAGGAAAACTATGCGGTTAGGGTTTTCAAGCATTTAATCTTAATTAGATTGACCAGAGTTTCTTCAGTCTGTTTGTTACCTAGCACAAAAATTATTTTTCAGTTTCACTTCTACCATCTGATTCACACACTATTCATACTTTGTGAATAGTCTTGTTGACCATGCTGCGATCATTTGCAAATTAAGGCATTTCTCAGCCTATGGTGGCAGAATTATACTTCACTGTAGCCACAGCATTACCACGTTAAGGGATATTATCTTCAGGTTTAAGAGACGTTTTCAAATGCTTAATATCTGAAATGTACACTTGTAAACATTTTTTAGTTTCAGATCCAAATAATGTGGTCAACACAAAAAATCTCCTATGCATCTTTCCCCGCTCTTCATATTTATATTAATTAGCTATAATTTAACTATATTAATCATAGGCTTTGCTTGATGTGGCTTTGTAGAACTCTTGCAAAGTCAAATGGAGTTCACAGTTGATGGCTGCTACATGTACAAGGAAACAGTTAATTAGAACTGTCTAGTAAATTCTTATTCTCCAAAATTTGACAGCATTTTTGAGAATCTGATTTAACTGGTATATCTAAAAACATAGGTAGCACATTGCAAAGGACATCCAACTCGTAAGAGTCTTCAAATCAGCTACCTTTCATATGCACACATCTTTTCTACTAAATATTCTAAATCAGCTCTATACTTCACTACATAGTTTTTAATGCGGTAGATAATGTGTATTCGTGTGAAATCAAAAAGAACTACACAGTCAAAAACTACTGCTTACTGTTCCAGCCTAAAAGCTGGTTATAAAGAGACAATGCAATACATAAATATAAAAGGTAACTACATTAAATGCTTAGATACATGCCTGTGGGTCACTTCTTAGGGATGCTATGCCACCACCACCAAGGGCATTCTTCAGAACAAAATTTAATCCATGGATTCCGGGCAACTCATATCTGCAAAATAAAATTTACAAGTTGCGTTTTAGTAGATGAAAAACAAACAAACAAAAAAGGAAGCCAACTTATACAGAACACCAAGCCAGAGGCAGCATGCAAAAATTTTAAGCTTGTAACGATGTCCCCCGCTGCTGGGTCAAGCATATGGGTCAAGATGATTAGAGGGCTGGAGCATCTCTCCTATGAAGAAAGATTGCAAGAGCTGGGCCTGTTCAGCCTGGAGAAGAGAAGATTGAGAGGGGATCTCATCAACGTGTACAAGTATCTGAAGGGGGAGTGTCAAGAGGATGAGGCCAGCCTCTTCTCCGTGGTGCCCAGCAACAGGACAAGAGGCAATGGGCACAAACTGAACCACGGGAAGTTCCATCTGAACCTGAGAAAAAACTTCTTCACTGTGAGGGTGACAGAGCATTGGAACAGGTTGCCCAGAGAGGTGGTGGAGTCTCCTTCGCTGGAGATATTCAAAAGCCGTCTGGATGTGATCCTGGGCAATATGCTCTAGGTGACCCTGCTTGAACAGGGAGGTTGGACTAGATGATCTCCAGAGGTCCCTTCCAACCTAAACGATTCTGTGATTCTGTGATATATATAAGTCAACTGAAAATTAACCCTTGGCCTTCCCCTTGTTCCTCCCCCGTGCCCAAATCAAACTCCTTAATAGTATTAAGGCAGGATCAAAATGTAATCATTCTCTTCTAACTCAACCGCAAAATTCACTAATTTCTAATTGAGGCAGTTTTCTAAATTTAAAAGAGTTAAAATGCATAAAGAAACCTCAGCAGGCAAGAGGTTCAAGATCCAATATGAACAAAGATCACAGTGGGCAGTATTTTTAATATCTTCTAGTTCTGTTAAGCAAAAATAAAATCATTTAATTCTCAGATTCTCAGAACTCCCTTTTGCTAACACTAGCTGCCATCTGATCAGCAAGTTATGCTGTCTATTACTGAGAAACAAGTTGGTTCTAAAAAAGAAAAAAAGTAAAGCTACATTTGAACACTTTACCAGAGTAAAACACTTTAAGATAAAACAGTTCTATTTCAGTGTAACAGACCTTCTTTATTTCTGTTCCACTGCCACAGTAAGCATTTTTCCATCCCTCCTTTTGATTGGTGGAAACTTTTGTAGAAATTTAGCAAATACCTCTGTGGTTTCCTAATTAAACTGTTTCAAATTCAATAAATAGGTCTATAGCATATTTCCATGAGCCTGTCCTTGCACAGTTTTTCAGTGCTGTCTTCTTTTTTGTATTCTTCTGGTGTTTCTATGTTTTTTGTTTTCCCCTAATATTGGAAATGATGGCTTTCCTGTATTTCCTTATGAAATAATTTCATCAGTACATCAGCAAGACATGAAGAGTAACTGAAAAATGTTTGACTGATGATGTTTGACTGCTACAATTTAAATCATACGTTCTCCAACACTATTTTTCTTTAGTCTATCTGCTTGCAACACATTCTTCAGATCTGTCCTCTAAAATAGCTGGAATTTCTTGCAGTGCTCCTTCATCTTCAGTTTTATATTACTGATTTTGTCACTTTGAAGTTTATCCTTTTCAGTCCTGTTTTGGCTTCTGTGATTCTGTGATTCTGTAACAGCCATAATTTTTGCAACAGCCATAATTGTTGCTGATATTCACTGCTCAGTATGCCCTTGTACCTTAGACAGATGACCCAAATCACTACTGGAAGATGAGGTCAACCTATGGTTCTGATAAATGGCCTAGTAAATGCTTTAGTTCTTGGTATGTTTTGCAAGTAGTATTCACTGAGTGTCTTGCCCTCCGCACCTGACTCCTAGACCACGATTTTTTATTTTCTGTCTGCTCTTTTATTACCACATTCTACTTCAGCAGAATCATTGTTATTAGGGAAAAAAATTGGTGTTAGTATTCTGTTGACCATATTTTCGAAGCAGCTATAAAACTTCCCTTGTCTGTTTCTACATCAGAATATAGAAGGCTATGATACATCTTTACGAATCTAGTTAGTAATTTGGCACTTCTGATACACTGCTTTGCAAATTCTAAGTGGATGAAGGAGTTTTCAGTAGACTTCATCATGAATGAACCTTCGTCCTTTTACAAGCTTGTGGTTATTCCTTTTTGAAAAGATGACCTGAATCTACTCCAAACTTATCATTTCATTCTGATAGAAGTTTTATGCCCACAGGAAGTCATCTCCATCATATTTTGCAGTAACGAAGAGAGGTCTCCCGGAGGTGGGTGAGTGGTTGCTTGTTTCTTTTTCTATTTGTTTTGCTTTATGGCCAGCAAAAAGAGTTCTTGGCACCTTGGTTATCACTAGTAAAGTGTGACCCCTGCTAGAAGCCATCAGATAGTGTAAAGGATCACTCAAACAGTTATTTTCCGATCAAAATTGTAGTTTGCTTCATCTTCATAAAAAGAAGGCTGTACAAAGTACTACTTTCAACTCCTCCCATCACCTTTGCTTAAGACCAGCAAAAGCACTGAGGTACACCAGTGTACATTCATAATTTAGGTAAAGCAGGAAAACAAATAGCAAGTCCATTAAGAAATCCTAAATTATTCAATACCTACATTTGGAAAGAACCTGAACTTGGAACAGGTTGCCCAGAGAGGTGGTGGAGTCTCCTTCGCTGGAGATATTCAAAAGCCGTCTGGATGTGATCCTGGGCAATATGCTCTAGGTACTGGTGTTTGAACAGGGAGGTTGGACTAGATGATCTCCAGAGGTCCCTTCCAACCTAAACGATTCTGTGATTCTGTGATTCTGTGGTATTACCAGTAATCCAACAAAAACATCTGAAGTTCTGGCTAAAATTAAAAAATTGGAACAATAACCCAAGAAACTGAAGCATACACACTAAAGTTCTTAACTCCACCACTCCATTGAAATTGCACTGAAAATTGAGACACCTATTTGATGAATTTTGGAAACAGGACCCTTCCTGACGAAAACACACAAGAGATCCCTGTCATAGCGTTCATGATGTGGATGATGATAATAAAGCCTTGACCTCATTAACTGCAACCAAAGCAAAGCAGTGCTAGTTTTCTGTAGCATACTACTACACAGGATGAAAGACACAACACATGCAAAGTTTACAGAAGAACAGGCTTAGTGTAAGAAATCCTGCAGAGACCCAGTATTTACATTAAGAACTACAATGAGGCTATGAATCAGAAAATACTGTGTAGGACTCAATGACTTCAGAATAGAATAGTTTCATATACAGGCCTGAAATGGAGCTGAATTTGTTTGCTATAAGGTATTGTCATAGGTAAGATAATGAAGTCTATGGAAACTCCAACACACTGACACAGAATGAGCAGGTAACAAATACATAGAAGATCTACAGGTTTTCCTTTTGTGCCTCCCACAAAAAGCATAAATGAGCAAACTGGAAAAAACAACAGGCCATCTCCCTTCAAAATCATTTATACTAAAACAAAGCATCCTTGAAATTTAGTTGTTTAGGTGTTGTTACATAACATTAACATTATCATAACATCATCATACTTGAAGGCAAATGCATTGGGAAGGTAGGAAAGTTTGAAATCGCTGACTTCTTGATATTCCCATTGTCTAGTAGAGCACTGTCAGATTAATCAACAGTAAGTCATCTACATGATTTAATACATTTAACAGCATAATCAACCACATAGCAGAATCAGAATCCCACAGAATTTTAAACCAAAAAACTCTCAATACCAATTACCAATAAACCATACACCATGAGAGCTGGAGGTCTATCAAAATACTAACAGTAAATTTTACCTTGAAAACCTGGCTATTAGTTCCAGGCAATGGAATATTTCCTAACTTCCAGATCTCTCCACCAGATTTAGAGTAACAGAATATGTATTCCAGAAGCTAATACCTCAGCTCTCAAGTTACAGGAAAATCAATCATTTTGAATCAGGAGAGAAACTGAACAGCGCATCAAAGCAGACACAAATGACAAAAAGAGTGGAAGAGTGTCATTTTGCCTCCCGCAATAATTCTGACAGAGGGAGCAGATAATATAAATAACAGATCTTAATTTGGAACATCAAAGAATGGCACATTCACTTCAATTAATTTGAGGAAATATTTACAGTAACAGATTCTAACTAAAAATTACAAAAATACTCAAAGGGCAGTATTTGCAGTATTTTAAGGCCTATTTGAAGCATTTGATGTCCAAAATATTTGTGCACACAAAACATACTTCCACAAAAAAAAAAAACCGCTGTAACCATCATGATAGTCTTAAGCAGCAACAATGCATCAGCCAAGATGTTACCAGGTGTTTGCACAGCATAATTAAACAATTTAAATAACTGTAATTAACTGAGAGCTAAAATAAGTAAGAAAATACTATCTAATTGCATAATTCAATCAAAAGTTTTAAGAGCTGCTTTTAAAAAGCACAGAAAACAAAAAATCCTTCGACGAATACTAAGGCTGTGACAGAAACCAATAAAACAAGGAAAATTCACTGTCCTAGCTGAACTTTTATGCTTATGCACAATGGGGTGCCTGCTTAACTACTTCCTTTAAAAGTGCTGTCCGTATGTATTCAATAGAAGTCAAGTTTCCCTGTGAATTTCCTGTTAAAAATACATGGGAATTATAGCATGCTTAAAATCGTTTAGTGCATTTCTATCAAGAGAAAGATGGCATTCCTCCTGTCAGAGGGAAGCAGGAGATGAACTTGTAGGCTAACAAGAGATGTCTGCGTGAGCGATACGCTGTAGGAAAGTACATGAGGCTTTATTTTTCATAATAAGGATATGTACAAAAAACAATTTAGAAGTGTCTGTGTCCACATAAGAAGCACTGCTTTCCTGTTCTTCGATTCTTACTAAAAGTATCCCATAACAAGAAATCGGCTTTCATATTAGATTTCTGAGCAACCGAATGCTCTCAGAAGGAAGATAACTGTCTTTCAAAGACAGAAAAATAAATTAGCAGGTTTTTACAGAATAACTTTCTTATTCTTCTCAAATAAGTGGCCTATGACCGCTAAGTGAGAAGTTTCTTATTCCTTTTCTTAAGCTTATAACATAAATCCTTAATAAAACAACTTATAGGTACAACGCTAATACTGTTCTCTACTCTTTAAAATTATCAGATGTCAATTTATAAGCCATTGTATACAAAACAGATAGATGACCTAGTATTAACAAGATGGAGGGCAAAAATGTCTCTAAAAAAACAGCAACAAAAAAACCCACACCACACACAGAGTAAGATCTTATATCTACCCTACATTTTACTACAGCATTGATGCTGCTGATGCTGTTACTTACTAATGCTATTAATGGCAGTAACAGTCAGAACGTTTATATGTGTTTACATAGCAAAAGGATGCCTGGCATCCTTTTTTAAACTTAGACCAAGTTTCTGCCTGAATACAATTATCTCTGCCTTGCCTTCCCTTAGATTGGTCTGACTTCCTGCTGGGCTTGCACATCACCACTACGGACAAGAGAAAAAAATGTCATTAACTCAAGAATGTACTCTACATAGGTGGGTAAAAAGCAATTTCATAGATTTTTTTGAAAGAAAATCTTTAAAGATTGTGCTACCTGAAAACCTGGAACCTTCTGAGTTTTCAGTTATATCTATCAAAAATAATCCTATCTTTTCTCTCCATGTGGCATACCTATTTATATTAATAGTTTTAAAGAAAAAGAAGGAAAGGCAATTGGTTGTTAACCTCTGGTCAGTGGTGAGGCAGAGCCATTGCTGGTATGTTTTTAGTACCAAAAGAATATATAC